CTCTCCATGGCCATGGCCTTTCCCCCCGTCTTCGACGTGGGCACCTACAAGTTCATCCGGGAGGAGGAGCAGTGCATCTTCGAGCACCGCTACGTCAAGGCCAACGACACGCTGGGCTTCATGCTCATGCTGGCGGCTGTCATCGCCGCCACCCACCTGGTCTACATCAAGCTGCTCTTCTTCATCCACGGCCACCGCAAGATGAAGCCGGCCCAGCTGGTACCAGCCATCAGCCAGAACTGGACTTTCCACGGGCCGGGAGCCACTGGCCAAGCAGCTGCCAACTGGACGGCTGGCTTTGGCAGGGGGCCCACACCGCCCACCCTCGTGGGCATCAGGCAGGCCACCCACAGCCAGATCAAGAGGCTGCTGGTGCTGGAGGAGTTTAAGATGGAGAAAAGGCTCTGCAAGATGTTCTACATGATCACCTTGCTCTTCCTGCTCCTCTGGTCCCCCTACATTGTGGCCTGCTACCTGCGGGTCTTCATTAAGGCCAGCTCCATCCCCCAGGTCTACCTGACCACCTCCGTCTGGATGACATTTGCCCAGGCAGGGGTCAACCCCATCCTCTGCTTCATCTTCAACAAGGAGCTCAGGGTCTGTCTCCGAGCCCACTTCCCATGCTGCCAAAGCATCCAGAGCACCCAGGGCACCATCCTTTGCGATCTCAAGAGCTTTGGGATGTAGGGGGGCTTTTCTCTTTCTGAAAAAAGAAAGATGGGATATCACTTTCCATATTTCTGCATATGATCTCAAGAGAGTGTGACCTATGGGGGACATACTAAACCACCACCCAGCACCCAAACCTTAGGCTGTAAGAAGCTATTTTATTTATTTTTCTATATTTTGTGTATGCTCTCTTCAGAACATAAAAGGTTGCTGTCTATGGGAACAGGTACTCGAGCAGGACACCCCCAAACCTTAGGCAGTAAGAAGCTGTTTCTTCTTTGTGATTGTGTGGTTTTTAAAAACAAAACAGGGCTCCAAGTTTCTGGTCTTGCTTCTAACATTTCTAGACATGATTCCAACAGATACGGATTAAGGCCATGACATTTTTTTTTTTGTTGTTTTCCTATTCCTGTCTGTTTTGATAAAGGCTTAACAATTTTACTCATGTAATATTTGATAAGGGCCAAGACAATTTTATACTAAAGTTATTTTTGATGACCTCAAGAGGTGTCGTTTTGTTATTATTTGATTTTAAGTGAAGAACAAGAAGAGGACGTTCCTAATGTGGTCGGAAGTCAGTATTTGGTGGGAGCTGTTGGGTTCATTCATTCTCAAATGGTTTGAGTATTTGAAGCAGTTACTTATAACTTTTGCTTGACCTGCAGTCAGTGTAGAACTAATTTCAATTTTCTTGTTGCACTATTCATTTGGTAATATTTCAGAACTATTTGTGAAACGTGATTTTAAAATATCAACTTTAAAAATAATCAACTATAGCAGTTTTTAAAACCTAGATTGAAATTCATATTTTACTGCCTTTATAGGAAGTTATCTACAAACCTGGGTAATACTTGTACATTTTGACTGTTTTCTTTAATAAAATATTGAAAACCTTTACTGTATGTAATTGTTTCAGAATGGCAGCATTCTGCTTTGCTGACAAATGACTTGTGTACGTGGAAGGTTGTATGTCTTGTGTCTGAGTAGATTCCACAGTGGAGGTTATTATGGACAAGCACAATCCTTATTTGCTGTTAGATCTCAATTTAGGTGTTTATACCAATAAAAGTGACTAAATCTATTTTTAAGAAGACTTAAGTTCATGATGGGCAACAGGTTTAAATAGCACAATTTTTGTGTTTACTGAAACCAAATTTCTGTTTTAGCTAATAGCTCCTCTGTTAATGATAGAAAAGTGCATAATTGCGGATCGCTGATTTTATTTGGCAAAGCAGGTTTTTAACATGGTGGCTTGGTTAATACTGTACTCATTTGCAAACTATATTCTTAATGGGTAATTTACATTTATTAAGCATGGCATTTTAATCCACTTTATTATTCTACAAAAACTTCTCTGAAGTATGTAAACTGTCAGCCTGATGGCAGGATCCTGACACAGCTTTTTAGCTGTATCAGAGGAAGCTGACCCTGTTGTTCTTGTTTCCTGATGTATCACGTAACATTTAACAAACATTGATCATTGCAGTGCTGGAGCAAGTCACACGCGAAATGACAGAGAAGAGCTCAATGTCTGTGAAGAAATCTGCATCTATGCTAAGAGTATTTCTGTAGAGAGTAGTCCAAAGTTGTTAGACATCAGTTGAGAAATAGTTGTCCTGACTGTGAAGAGAGCAGAGAGATGCGTGTGACAGTTAGATCAGAAGAGGGCTAAGGTGGCAGCTCCAGATTTAGGCAGGGAATGAAACTAGGGGAGGCTTCTGGTTTGGTTTTATGTCTCACTTTTCACCTCCAGCTCAGATCTGAACACCAGAGAGACAACATTTCTCAAAGTGCATACTGAGAAGTTTGCAATTTGAGCTTTTGGTACAGCTGCAGGGGAGGTGGGCAGGAGGAAGATGGAGCTGTCTTGATACTGCCAGAGCTGGGCTAAGAAATAGGACCATGGATAGAGTATCTTGAAAACAAAGTGAGACTTAATGATCATTTCCAAAGCTGTTTGAAAAATGCATCTGTGTACAGAAGGAAAGTTGTCAAGAACTTCAGATCACAGCAGAAGCTGGTTATCAGTGCTAATTATATTTTCATTCTGGAGTATCAGATCATTGCTTAGTGAATCTTGGTGAGTAATCACCTAGAGTTGTGTTACAAAGACTTAGGGCCAAAGCATCGATGCTGTTGCTGGGAATTGTATTCCAAGCACACCTTACACCCCTGTTTTACTGTTAGGTCTTTTCAGTGGGGTTCCAACTTTTGCAGAATTATATTTTCATAAAACTTAAGACACTTCCTCTGTAGGAGCCTAGAACGGTGATCTCTAGCTCAAATCCTACCTTCATAATTCTGCTGGTACCCAAGTCAATGTTTTCTTTCTCTTACTCTATTGAAAATGCCTGATGTTTTGTCATCCTATCTCTCTTTCCAGGCTGTAAGTAGTATGGTTATAATTTTATTTAAACCACAGAGATGGGAGAAGAGTTATTTTAAAACCTTCCTAAAAGCTACAAGGGCCAGATTTTTCACTTCTAGAAAAAATAAGTAGAAGTTGCATAGTCAATCACATATGTGGGGGATGAAAAATCACCTTTGGGCGACCTGGTGGTTTTATTTAGACTTAGCTTATCAAGCTGTGTTGCTGTATTGAATGTCAGTCTCTGTGCCTAGATACCCCTCATCTCAGCGATGCCCTCACTAGATGGGCAAGTCCAGTTCTTACTCACTGAAGATAAGGGATGCTTTGCTGTCACCCATCAGTGGCAACCAGACCTGGCCTTGCTACAGCAAAGGGATACAAAAAAGTTTAAAAAGGATATCTGTATACTGTGCCTTTTGCTTGTGTGTAGTTTCCAGGGCTGTCTCAGAACTTCTGATGTACTCTGAGGGCAGAATCAGTGCTGTTTGAAGTTAATTTTATATTTTAGGTACTTGTAATGTCAGGCAGATTATGATCCTGGCCATGCTAGTACAAAAGAAAAGGAACTCCAGTAGCTTTAATTTGGGGTTTAGATGGATGTTGTACAATCGGGTTTCATTCCAGAAAATGTGAAACTAAATATCAGGGGTGGACACATGGCAGAAAATGAAATGGCACTTGGCACCAGCACACCAGCAAGCACCACTTTGCAAGTCTTTCCTGCTGGCTGGGATTGCCCCAAGTATGGAAAACCAGAAAGGGCTGGAGAGGCATTAGAGGATAAATGTTCCTTCTGAAATCTGAGGAAAAAATAAGGAAGTTGCAAAAAAAGAAAAAAAAATTAGCATTTCCAAAGCACAATATTAACATGTTCTCCCAGTATCCTTTAGTCTGCGTATGGGAAAGTCAGTCACAGAGATTAAATGCTTTGACCAAGATCAGGGAAATGGTGTCAGAAAGGATGAAAACCTGCTCTGGGTAACAGAAGTAGACAAATAATGCCAAGAGAAGGGGCTGAGCCCAGAGAGCCATCCCTGGTGCTGTTGGGACCTGTAAGGAGTGGCGGGAAGCCTCCATGCTCCCAGTCGCCCATCCAAAAACCAGAATGCTGCTGGTCTCACTCAGAAGAGCTGATGGATGAGACTCAGCGAGAGCTGGGTCTTAATAATTAGCTCCCACGTGAGAAGCTATTGCAGCTTGTTGTGCAAGTCCTGGGCTCACTTGTGAAAACTCGGATGGTGTGAACCCCTCTCCCCATCCCCACTGACCAGAATGCAGAGTACTTGGTGGGTTTGGTGAGCTGTACAGCAGTGGGGTTCTCCCAGCTCCTCCATCTACCTGTTCTTGAGCAGAATATAGGTCCAGTCCTCTCTATACCCTTCCAGGCAGATGTATGATAGTTTTCTATATTCTGGGCACCACGAGTGCTGAGTATCACAGGAAATACCAACATCATCTCCCCCAGAGATTCTCTGCAGCCTGTCTCAGAGGTCACAGCATGCTTACTTTTGCATATCTGTGGTGAAGAAATTGCAGAGAGCTGTGCTGCTCTGGAAAAATCTTGATTGCTGTTGGCATCTTCCCTCACTCACCAGGTATTTAACACATTCCCTTGCAAATGTTTCCAGTGAAAAATCTTGCTGTGCTGAATTCAGTGGAGGTTTTTAGCATAAACTTAAATGTCAAGCCAGCAAGAAAAATGACACTGGTCTGAAACCTCAAGTAGTGGTTATGACCATCTCCACTTTACAACACTCAAAGGTTGGGGTGCTCCTGGCTCTGCGGTTAGACTTGGAAAGAGTTTGCTAGGAAAGGGAATGAAATATTTGGCCCCAGCCAAATTATGTTGTTGGGTACAGGTCTTACTGAGTTGTCATGCTAGAGGTGAAGGATGAGCAGGGGGATGCACAGCCCACAAGCTGTCATCATTTGCTTTCCTAGTACCAGGTCTGCACCAGAGGAGACAAAGCTGCCTCCCAGTATGGTGTGAAGTCCATAGCCTTGAGGAAAAGGGCAAGAACTTGGCTTATTCTGATAGCAACAGTTTCTTCCTGGGGCTCTACCTGGACATGATACAGCTACACCTCCAGAAGAATGCTCTGCCATATGCTGTGGGACTGCCCTGGGACAGGTTGTGATGAGCTCAGAGGAGAGCAAAGCTGGCATTTTCCCCTCCCTTCCCAACAAAGGATGCGTGGAGTTTGGCTGGACCTCTGCCACTTGCCCCAACTTGGTTAAGCACAGTCACCTTGCTCCTGTGTAGCACTTGCACTTGCTTAGAATTGCCAACAAACCACCTCCAGAGAAGAGGCTCTGGACAGATTAACAGACACACAATGACAGAACATGATGTTAAGTATCTCAAGGCACTTCATTAATTTAGGCTGCAGATTAGATGATTCTGTGACATATTAGAATACTCCAGAAACCTTATTAGATAGTCATGCTGCAAATTAAATTATTAGAAACACGACAGGGGGGCTGTTTTCTAATAGAAGTGCCTTAAAATCCTCAATTTTAGCACAGCTTCCTTTGTAGTTGCTCAAAACACTGCACAGGCTACAATTAACTTGATTGTAATATGAACCAGGAAGCATCTCCCATGCTGTGGTGTTGGTAAGCTTCACGGTGTTATAAAGTGGACAACATACAATGAAACGGAGCCATCAGAGAAGGACCATCGATGAAGATGGTCTCCTGAAAGTTGGTGCAGAGTCATACTGGTCTAGGTCTGTGTCAATGGAAGTCTGACCCCAAACCCCTTTTTATGCTGGTGACCTCTGATGCCACGTCATTCATGAAGGACCTTGTGCGGGGTAAATCCTTACTCATCCATCGGTTGTAGAACTGGTGACCAAGAGCTGATTTTCCAACAGGCCTGACGTCTGCAGTGCTCTGCCTTTCCCTACAGCTGACGATGCTGAGCATCTCTGAGCCTATTTTCACTTGGTACAAGTCATTAACTGCCCCACACCTTAGTACTTTATCTGAAAAATGATTAATTATTCTTACTCACCTTTGTAAAGCACAGAACTACTGATGGCAAGAGCAGAGCATTATCACGGGTGAACAATCGCCGACTGCATAAGCTTTCATCACTTAACTTTAAAGTCCAGCTAAGCCTTTAATGCAAGCTGTTGCATTTCTGTATTTCTATTCATGTTTAATGACCTCAGTACTCACACTCTGTCTTTGATCTTGTGAGTCACGCATGGTCGTACTGTGGATGTATTTATTGGAAAGCCACTTTCTTCAGTGCCACATTTTTCACCTCTGCCATGACCAGGTTGATAGCGCAAAGCACTTTGTGTAGGAGGCTTTCAAGTTCAAAGCTAGGCTTGCAAGGGCACAGGGAAGCTGTGAAGTCCCAGTGAATTTTAGGCAGTCATCTCAGCTTGAATAGAGGAGGCAGAAATCAAGAGATCGCCCAGTGAAGAGAAAGCCTGTCCTAAAGTTTCTGAATGTTATTTACTGGTGTGTTATTAAAAAAAAAAAAAAAAAAAATCCTGTGTTTGTGTGAGGATGATTAACCATTGGAACAAATCATCCAGGGAAAAAAAATGGATCCTCCATCTGTGAGATGCGCAGCGTGAGCCTGCACGCCTGCCCACGACACACCTGCCCGGGAGCCTGCTGCCGGCCCGGCCGGGGTCCCTGCGCCAGGGCTCAGCCTGAGCATCCAGGGAGAACAAGAAATCAGAAACAT